TTGATGTTATGATCATATTCCAATATATCAAAATTATGTAATAATTGTCTTTCATGTTCCAATATCAAAATATTAAATCCAAATCAAATCATATTTATATAATAATAAAGTGACTAAATTTAATGGGTCTGACTAAATTTAATTTGTGTGAATTCTGCGAATAACTTCATCTCCATATTTGATTAAGTACACTCTATAAGTCAAAAAAGATTTCCATGTGATCCCTGAATGGTATAACACAACATAGTTGATTGAGAAGGATTTCACCAACCCCATGTCTCGAACCTTCAATGGAACAGGAGGCGTAATAGCTCTAAAGCGATGGATTGAAAAGGTGGAATCAGTTTTTGAAATTTGCAGGTGTCCAGATGGGTACAAGGTCAAGTTTGCAGCATGAACATTAATTGATCAAGCTCTCTCTTGGTGGAATGGCCACAAAGAGGCCATGACACTCCCGGTGGCGAACGCGATGCCATGGGAAGAACTTAAGGATATGTTGTTAGCTAAATACTGTCCAAGAGGCAAAATTCAGAAGATGGAACAAGAGTTGTGGAATCTCATGGTTCAAATCTCTAATACAGACGCATACATATCGAAGTTTAGTGAGCTATCTCTCCTATGTCACGGAATGATCACCTCTGAAGGGAAAAAGATTGCGAGGTTTATCTTGGGATTAACCACACCTATCCAAGGGAATGTCATTACGGCAAACCCTAAGACGTATGATAGTGCAAAGAGGTTGGACAATAAATTTTATGATCATGGAAACAAAAAGGGTGCCAAAATAGGAGAAGCGAAAGTTAAGAAAGAAGGTGATAACAAGAAAGGGGAAAACAAAAAGCAGAAGGGAAAGCAAAACCATGAATCATCAAAGAAACAACAAACTGTGACTGTCCATGCGACTACTCAAGCTACCACCACACCACATACTCCAGCCTTATCCACAGAAACTAACCCATAGCAGTACTCAGGAAATCTCCCCAAATGTAACAAATGTAACTTCCATCATCATGGGGAATGCCGAGAAATGATTTGCACAAGGTACAACCGGAAAGCTCATATAACAAAGTACTGTAGGGCTCAGCTTGAACAGAACCAGACGCCAAACAACAACAAAAACCACAACAACAACAACAACAATAAAAACAACGACAATGCTTGGGGCTAGTCATACCTGTTACGGATGTTGGAGAACCGAGAATTTCAGGCATAATTGCCCCAATGTTAAACATCAAGGAGTTGGAGGATTGGGAAGAGTTTTGACTTTGGGACAAGGTGAAGCAGTCCAGACCCTGCAGTTGTCACTGGAACGTTTCTACTTAACAACACATATGCATGCATCTTATTCGATAGTAGATCAGAATGAAGTTTCGTGAGTAACAAGTTCAAACATTTAATAAATCAATGATCCCAGAAGCTTAATGAAACCTTCACTGTGGAAATGGCTAATGGGAAGGCTGAATCAACTAAAGATATCTATATAGGATGCATGTTAACACTAAACAACCACTCTTTCCAAATAGATTTGATGTCTGTAAATATTAGGAGTTTTAATGTGATAATTGTCATAAATTGGTTAATCCCCCCATCATGCTAATATTATGTGTCATGAGAAGGTCGTTCACCTTCATCTTTCCAATCACGAAACCCTAATAATCTACGAAGATAAACCGGACACAAATCTTCACCTTATCTCATGTATCAAGGCACAAAAATGTCTACACAAGAAGAACCATGCATTCCTCGCCCACATTGTGGACAAGACCAAAGAAGAAGTAAACATACAAGATATCCCAGTAGCATGCGACTTTCTGGATGTATTTCCTGAAGAACTTCCAGGAATACCCCCAAAAAGACAAGTCGAATTTCGAATCAACCTAATACTGGAAGCCACTCTAATTGCCAAATAACCCTATAGGTTGGCTCCACTGAAATGCAAGAATTATCAAGCCAACTAAGCGAACTCCTCGATAAGGGATTCATCAGACCAAGCTTCTCGTCGTGGGGAGCTCTAGTTCTTTTTGTTAAAAAGAAAGATGGATCCTTCAGGATGTGCATGAAGTGTTTTGGCCATATGAACATTCCTATATGCACATACAAACCCTAATGCTTGGATCTAGGTTTCTCTAGTTGAACATGCATGAATCCAAGACTTATAATGGTTATTCTAGCATAATAACAAAGAGAAATCAGAGTTATAAGTATATCTTGAATCACTTGTTTGATCTTCTTGTTCTTGGAGCTTTAGAGTCACAATTATCACTCCTCTAATGGCTTACAAACACCAACTAGCAAGAGGATGATTTGAGAGAGTGGGGGAGGGACTAAGAAATTGGCCAGGATTTCCTTAGACATAAGGGTGCCGATTTCCATGATGCCAAGGGTCTATTTATACTTGTAAGGCTCCTAGGGTTTTATCTTTAAACCCTAATTGGATAACTTAGGCTCTAAGCAATCCTAATCCCTTTCATGATAACCTTGGATAGATTTTAGGTCTATCCTAAGCCCTAAAATCGTCCACCCTATTATCCTTAAGGGATTATAGCCTAAAGTATAACTATCACACATTTGACAGTTTAAGCCCTTCTATTTAATTAATCTCTATAAGTCACCAAATTAATTCCTAATTAATTTATGAATTATATTAATCAAATAATATTATTATTCCTTATAATATTTCAAATCTCATTGTACATCATCCTATCAAGTTGCTATGGTGAAGGCAACCCAAAAGGACCATGCTCAATCGGGTCAAATACTTACCAAATATAGTTGCAGCCTTAGATACTATTCCAACACACTACTAGAAAAAAGGCCTTTTACAATGCTCATTGCGCGTCGTAAAACGCTCAGACGACGCGCAAATGCGCGTCAAGGAAGGCCATGTCATAAAGAGAGACGACACGCATTTACGACGCGCATTTACGACGCGCAATTACGACGCGCAATTATGACGCGCGTTTACGACACCCAATGCGTATCAAGGAAGGCCCTGTCATAAAGGAAGACGACACACATTCGCGTGTCATAACCTTACGACGCGCGTGTTAAGGACACGCAATGCGTATCAAGAAAGCCCCTGTCAAGAAAGGCCATGTCATAAATGAAGATGACACATTTTTGCGTATCATAATCTTAAATGTTTTTAAAAAAACTATTATTTATAGATTTACTAATTTTCAAATTAAATAATACATTAAAAATCTCATACTACAAAATAAAATACCATAAATAATAAAGATAATTCATTTCACTAGTATGTCAAATACAAATAATTATTCCAAAAGTGAGTAAATGTTATAAAAAATGAACTCATTTATATACAATTGCATTATAGAATTTATGTAAGAATATTAAAAACATAGAATAAAGAGATAAATACAGATAAAGAATGAACAGCAGGTCCACTGAGAAGATGTTGTGCATGTCTCATAACAACTGCCAAAGCTGCTGGTTATGGTAAGCCACGAGTATTAGAAGGCAATTTTGTTGCACTACTATCTGATGGGTGATGCCCTGTAAAATATCAAATAAATCATGCAAATAATTATCAAGGAATATTTATCATTAAGAAATATTTTTATCAATACTAAAAAAAATAGAAATACAATAGGTGTATCACATAATGAAACAAAAAATGAAAGAACAAGTGTCACCTGCATATTTGGTTGTGATACACCAATGGGGGTTTGACTTTGACCCCCTACCCCAATGGAATTCAATGCTGGCTTTTTACTAGTGGTCCCACCAGTATTTTCCAATTTGTGACCTGAAATAGATCAAAAATATAATTAAAAAAATAAGTAACAACAAAAATATAAGAAAACAATGGAAAGGATTTTAGTATTTAGTCTTACAGACCTTGACCATTCTGGTATAAACTTGAAAACTTTGTTAATGAATGATCTACAGAAAAAAATATATTTTTTAATGATAATACTGAATTTACAAACAATAGTAAATTAGAAAAAATAACCAATAAGTTTTAGTAGTTTAAACCAACTTAATGTCACAGTGTAGATTAAGGCTATAACCTAACTACAGTTAAAAGCATGAGGTATAAAGTAGAAACAAGGAAGTGGGAATACAATACGATAAGCACATACTCATAAAAGCAACTACGAACTTTGTCACATCCATGATGAATTGATATAAGTAGGAAAAAAAGCATCAACAAACTGAATCAAGCAACTGAGGGCATACATGTCTTTTTGGAGATGAATGTGATTAGATTAAATGAAAGAAGCAAATACAAACCAGACAAGAACATACACTTATGGTATAAAATATCAATGTTATTTGGTATAAGAACAAAAACATTCATCTCGTTTGCATTATTTAACACATCATTGTGTCGGGTCACTCTCTCCTCATGTTACATACACCTATTTTTTATGCCGTCAATGACCATGACCTTGTCAACTGCCATATCATACTCATCTATTTAAGTTTTACCCATTCCACTTTCATCAGGTATTAAGTATTAACCAACAAACACCTACCTTTAGTTTTTCTTTCTTCTAGCAAAGCATCATAGACCAATCCAAATTCCAAAGTTAAAAAGCTTAAAGGTCCTTGTAAACCAGAATCTATTAATCAAGATTTTCATACACCGTTGTTTCAAGAGGAAAACTGCAGGTAATCAATGTCCTGCTTTTTCTGTTGATGCTATACTACCATTATCTCTAATATAATCAAATTAAATGATTGGTAAGTATTTTGAGTTACTTACCTTACCTCTTCATCATCATCAAGACAAAGACATGCCATGACATGTAGACTACTGATCCACCTTTAAACAATGCTTCAGGTACCTATCATCCAGAAAAACAACAAAACAGACAAAAATTTACGCCAATCCCATCACAAACAAATCCAGCTGCTATTATCACAAATAACAAATATAATATTCTCCTAACAGTATTAAAATGTAGCAGCATCAAAACATATTATAAGATGAAAAAGTTAATAATACGAAGAAGTAAGAAGTAGACACCCACTCAGATAAACAAGGTCAACTCAGGCCTACTGTAGACATTCTCCCCTTCATCCTCTAAAACAAGATAAGCCGCGACAAGTGCATCCTGAGCCCCAATATACAACGAATTGTAAATCTTCCAATACACCTCCCTCACCTTCCTGGCCGGATGAAACAGCCCCTGCAAACAGTAATAATACGTCTCCTTGTTTTTCATCATCCATGAGATCCTTTCCTGTAGCAACGAGGTTGATTTTGGCAATTTTATTGGCCTATGCATCACAACAGAACATCAAAAAAACAAATCCATATCAACACGTCGCAACATAGTAATAGTAGGGAATGCAAAAGAACAAACATATATATATAGACCGTCCCCAAAGGGTACATTACTATTTACTTCCAGAGAGTGATTTTGCACTATTATACAAAACATCTCCTCGCATTGATTTCTGAAATAAAGAGAGAATATTACCTGTAAAGTAATGTTCCAAATGGACTTGTAAAGTTCTTATATCTTGACCATCTACCATTATCAAACCTGTCATTTTATACCAAGATTAAATTCAAAACCAAATTTTAGCTTGACTATCCATCATTATACCGTAACTGAGAACTGGGGACAAAAATAGCCTCAGGGGTATTTTGGGAAAGTTCCATTTTAATTAAGTTTTTGTATGAAAATATGATTGCAGTTTGTGAATTACCATAATATATCCTCTATTGTTGGCATAATTCAGGATAAAGCCAACAGGGGCATTTTAGGAAAAATGCTTTTATTATTTTTGTTTCCCGGTTTTAGACTATGAGTCAAACTCTTTTTCTTTTAGTATAAATATGCTACGTTATAGGTATTTAGAAAGAAGTTTTTCAGCAATAAAAGTCTAAATGGGTCCCTCAAGCTCACAAGGTCATCAATTTCTTTAAATACACCAACAATATTCCCAAACCCCGACTTTATTTAACAACTCTCTTAGGTTCCAATATAGAAGGCCTGAAACCATTAAGCAATATTAAAAGTTTAAACAACCATCTTGGTCTTAAATCCCCTATTTCCTACTCAACAACTCTCTTAGGTTCCAATATAGCATTATAATAATACATTGTCTGATTAAAAATTACAGCCCTGCATTTCCCTATCTCAATCCCTAAATTTCTTAATAAAACAAGCATCCCCAAAAAAAATTAATAGCAATCTCCTCCTACAACTATAACCGTACAAAAAAAAGGATTCTCCATAATCGAACCAAAATTTCCTGCAAATCTTTTAAATCCACCAAATCAGATCTTCCTATCTTTTATTATTAAAATATCAAAATCCAGAAAAAAAAAACGATAAATTAGTAACCAACACAAATTATCCAACCTATCATTAGATCCATGATTCGTGGTTTTACTTTTACTATGATGCAACTCTCATTACCTAGGGATGTAGGTGCATACCAAAACACTGAAAATTCATCATGTGATAATATTTATATATGTTTTAAACTACACTACAGAGAATACCGTTTTTCAAGATTTAGACAAAATATATTTCAAACAAGAAGCATCAACTTTGGCGTTATTGCTAGCATTTGAAACCCTAAAAATTGAGAAATTGAGCATGGCATGGATTGCAGACTACTACTCTAGAGAATATAGATTAGAGATTCAAATGCAGCCACCTTAGGTACTAGTTGCTTCTTTTAAATCATAGTCTCCTAAAACCTAACCTCATTCACTCACTATTTCATATATGTAATACCTTGTATATTTTTTAATAATTTGTTGAAGACACTGAGGAGATTGCCATCAGTTAACAAGGGGGGACACCAGCTTTACCAATACCATAGGAAGAGGAACTATTACTGTAACTCCATAATCAACAAAAGGGTTGTTTGGGGATCAAAAGATTTTACAATTCTAACCTGCATTTAAAAAAAATAAAAAAGAGTTAAATTAAAGGCACACGAAAAAAATAGTTAAACTCAAGTGAATAAGGGTCTCGCTGAGAACAGTTGCCTTCTGTGTCCCTGAGAACCTGTACAAGAACAAAACTTCATAGTATTAAACGAAACTGCCAATAAAAAATATATATTATGTTAATAAAGCAAATAAATTACCTAAGTGCCCTTGCTATCTTTTTCTGTTCTTCAAGAGGATCAACACTTGAAGCTGAACCAAATCAATTTCTCGGTGGCAAGTTTAGCAAGTTTGGAAATTTAAGCGGTGTCAACTTCCCCTGCTTCAAGGGCACTAATTGCAATCAAAATGACTTTAAATACACCAGCAATATTCCCAAACCTCTGTAAATAACAAGAAAAAGAAGTTCAAATAGTCTTTCTGTTTTCTGATTACGTGTGTAATTTATGTTACAGTGAGTGATACACGATGCTTGCTGTGAAATTAGAGTTGCCTTTACCAATCAACCTCTTCTTCGTCTAAGGAACTGGTGAGTTTTTGCCAATCCACCACCACAATGAGGCTGAAAACCCTAATCGGAGAAAATTGTTGCAAAATAGTAAAACCTTCAGAATTTTTGATTTGAGGTCAAAGAGATTTAATTACCTGGTTGAAACTTGGGATAAGGATATCGGAGATGCCTTTTGGGTTGGAGCGCGAAGCTTAAAGAGACATCAGTAGATTTAGATTTGACGCATATACCTTACCAACATATTAGAACAGTGGAGTGGATAGAGAGGGAAGCGGTGGATTGGCGTTTGTCAAACAACGATTCAAAAGGAAGTATCGATTTCTTTGATGTATACGGTGTTGTTCCGGGAGATATTGATAGGTGAAGGGGATACGAGAGAGTTAAATGGAGGTGGACATGAGGTTGCCGGACCTGAGGCTGTCGGACGTGAGGTTGCCAGAAAGGCCAAGCGAAGCGAGGTAATATCATCGATTATTGCAGAGGCTAGAGAGAATCGAGAGAATTTGAGAAGCATCATAAGTCGTAACAACGATACGTACATTCTTCATGTTTCTTCTCTTTTCGTCTCTGCCTCAGGGGACTAGGGCTTGAAATGTATTGATCTTCAGAGTAACACTAGAGCAGAAATCTGATGAGACGATTAACAAGTAAGGTCAAGAGTAGTGGAGAAGCAGATAGGAGAGGAGGGAGAGGGGAGAACCGATTGTGAAGATTAAAAATAGAAAGAAGGTACAAAAACATCAAGGCGGGTTTTCAAAATTTTGGGGATTTCATTTCCCCCCCGTATCTACTAAACGCGTGTTCATTAAAATTATAAAGCGACACTTACAGACGACACGCATTTAAGATACACCGCCCTCTATGTTTTTAATTTTTTTCTTATGGTACTAATGTAAGGGAACGCAATAATGTGTGACCTAAATCCTTAAATTTTTTGAAGAGATGACACTTTTTTAATGTCACTCTCTTTTACGTAACATAAATCAATGAGTGTCGTGGTTTGCGTGTCGTAAAAGGGTCTTTTTCTTGTAGTGACAGTCTCCCACTTGGATAAGTCTAGTAACTATATATACTGATTAGCAATCGTAGCTCTCAAAGATCCTATCAAACTCTGATCTAATCAATCTTGTCCTTTAGATAAGGGATCGTACAGTCCTCTGTATAGATATCATGCAGATAATCAAATGGAACCAATTGTCTAGCATTTGGTTTCTCGATCTCAGATTTATTTGACATAGAACTTAATCGAACACATCAATTCAATTCTGACCGGGCCCGGCACATAAGACAAATCAAATCATCGAGCGGCCGAGATATCGCTTTTACCTTCTTAGGATAAAAGTAACAGGTAAACTTCGACATGCATTTACTTATTCATTAATCAACTATACACAACAATGCGTTTTATAACATCAAGTTACTGATGCGGTTTCGCACCATCAATGTATAACCAATTAACAAATAACAAACCATATATCTAGGTTTTAAGACCATATGATATTATCGTCTTGCGATCACCCTTTTATCACATTCCATAAGGTGATTCCAGCAAGCGCAAGTTTGTTCCAGTGCTCAAAACTAGTTCTTAAGCACTCATGAACGTTGCAGCAAACTTTTGCTATGTCTAATACCATTTAGACAATCTACACACCAATTCATGACAATCTTCAGTCATACATACTTCCAACATATGAACGATTGTGGACAATTTGAATAATTCGATTATTCTTAATAAACTCAATTATTCTGGAAGTCAAAACATGCAAAGTGACACAATAGTTAAAAAATTAACATAAGACAGTAACATTACTCATAAATAATACTCTTTTATTTAATCATCAAATGTTAATTACATTTATCTATTATACGTTTCTAATACTATCTAATCTATACTAATATCATCCTTCAGCCCAATGCTCCTAGCATGTTGCAAGTAGTTAACCCTGCTCAATCCCTTCGTAAGTGGATCTGGTGGGTTATCTTCTGATGATATCCTCTTCACCACGAGTTTTCCTTCTTGTACACGATGTCTTATAAAATGATATTTTCTGTCGATATGTCGAGATCTACCATGATCCCTTGGTTCCTTGGTCAAGGCAACCGCTCCTTCATTATCACAAAAAATCTCCATAGGCTCCTTTATGGTAGGTACAACTCCAAGATCACCAATGAAGTTCTTTAACCATATTGCCTCTTTCGACGTTTCGCTCGCTGCGATGCACTCTGATTCGCACGTTGAATCAGCTATGGTTTCTTGTTTGGAACTTTTCCAAGTCACTGCTCCTCCATTCAGGGTAAAGACCCAGCCCAACTGCGAACGGTAGTTGTCCCTGTCGGTCTGAAAGCTGGCGTCACTATACCCTCGCACCTTCAAGTCATCATTCCCTCCGAGGACTAATAACCATTCCTTGGTCCTCTGAAGGTACTTAAGGATATTCTTCACCGCAATCTAATGGGGTCTGCCAGGGTTCCCTTGATATCTACTAACCACGCTCAAAGCAAAAGCTACATCAAGGTGAGTACAAGTCATAGCATACATGATTGAGACAACTGCGGAAGCGTATGGTACTCGGCTGATTTCTGCTATTTCGGATTCGATACTCGGACTTTGAGTCTTACTCACCTTGGCATTATATTATATTGGTAATTCTCCCTTTTTCGAGTTTTCCATACTAAAACGTTTTAGTACTTTATCTAAGTAAGTGTTCTGACTAAGTCCTATTAGTCTCTTACTTCGTTCTCTCACTATCCTTATTCCGAGAATATAAAAAGCCTCTCCGAGTTCCTTCATAGCGAAGCACTTCCCGAGCCAGGATATAATCTCCTGCAGTGTCGGGATGTCGTTTCCTATGAGCAGCATGTCATCCACATACAAAACGAGAAAGCTAACTATACTCCCACTGGATTTGACATATACACATGATTCATCTTCACTTCGTACAAATCCAAACTCTTTGAATTTATCATCCAAGCAAAGATTCCATCTGCGAGATGCTTGCTTAAGTCCATAAATGGACTTCTCAAGCTTACACACTCTATTTGGATTCTTCGGATCGACAAAACCCTCTGGATGAGCCATGTAAACATCCTCAGCCAACTTCCCATTAAGGAAAGTTGTTTTGACATCCATTTTCCAAATCTCATAATCATGAAATACGGCAATCGCTAGCATCACTCTAATAGGTTTTATCTTTGCAACTGGTGAGAAGGCCTCATCATAGTCAACTCCGGGAGTTTAAGTGAAACCCTTCATAACCAATCGCGCCTTATATGTGTGTACGTTTCCATCCACGTCGGTCTTCTTCTTGAAGATCCATTTGCACCCAACGGTCTTACGTCCGGGCACATTATCAACCAAATTCCAAACTTGGTTGTCATACATGGATTGGATCTCGCTGTCCATTGCCTCTTTGCATTTCACAGATTTCGGGCCTACCATGGCTTCCTTATTGCTATTAGGTTCATCTAGATTTATTAGTATAATATCACTAATATACGTGTCCCCTTAGGTAGTAATATGAAAACCATATGACTGGAGTTGAACTCTAACTCTTTCGGAACGTCTAAGAGGTAAGGACTCGTCAATCGGTTCAACCGGATTTTCCTCCTCGGGTTGAGGGCCAGCGGTAGAGGTTCCTTCATCTATCGACTCTTGAATCTCTCCAAGCTCGATTTGCCTCCCACTGTCTCCTTGGCTTATGAGTTCTCGCTCTCGGAAAACTCCTCTCCTTGCAACAAAGACAACAATGTCCTTCGGTCTATAGAAGAGATATCCAAAGGATTTCTGCGGGTAGCCGATGAAAATACATCGCTCACTATGAGGTTTGAGTTTGTCGTGAGTATCTCGTCTTACAAAAGCCTCGCAACCCCAAACCTTGATATGTGCTAACGAGGGAGCTTTCCCTGTCCACATCTCATGAGGTGTTTTGGTAACCTTCTTAGTAGGGACTTGGTTAAGGATATGGGCGATAGTATCTAAGGCATACCCCTAGAATGAGATAGATAGCGAAGCACGAATCTTCATAGAGCAAACCATGTCCAACAAGGTTCGATTACGCCTTTCTGCCACACCATTCAATTGCGGTGTCCTAGGTGGCATCAATTATGAAACTATTCCACACTCCTTGAGATAGTCATGGAATTCAAGACTTAGGTACTCTCCTCCTTGATCGGATCGAAGCATCTTGATTTTCCTGCCCAATTGATTCTCCACTTCATTCTTGAATTCTTTGAACTTTTCAAATGTTTCTGACTTTTGCTTGATTAAGTAGATATACCCATATCTACTATAGTCATCGGTAAAAGTCACATAGAAGCGGTTTCCATCCTTTGTGGTTGATCTAAACGGTCCACATACATCGGTATGTATTAGGTCCAATAGACCCTCACCCCTTTCACATGTGCTAGTGAAGGGTGACTTAGTCATTTTTCCAAGTAAACAAGATCCGCACGTATCATCTTCCCTAAGGTCGAATGACTCCAACACTCCATCCTTTTGGAGTTAGGCTATGCGCTTCTGGTTGACATGTCCAAGACGACAATGACACAAGGATGCTCTATCCATACTATTGGAAGAATCCATGCATATAACATCATTTCCTAGGTTATCTACAATTATAAACAGTTTCATAAATTCCATTACATGGTATTGCTTCAAAATATAGGACACCATTTAGATAAGCACAAATAGAACCATTCTCATTATTAAAATAAAATCTAAATCCTTGTCTAAACAAACCATGAAATGAAATGATGTTTCTTGCCATTTCAGGTGAATAGAAACAATTGTTCAAATCTAAACATAAACCATTCCTCAGCACTAGAGAACACACTCGAATCTTGGTCACAGGCGACGATCTTCTGTTCCCCATGATTAGATTTATTCTTCCATGCTCCACATCCCTGTTTCTTCTTAGTCCCTGCAATTCAGAACAAATGTGGTAACCACATCCAGTATCGAGGACCCAAGAAATAGCATGAGATGAATCATTAGATTTAATTGTATATAAACCTGCGAAAGACGGCTTGATCTTTCCTTCCTTGATGGCTTGCAGGCACTCTGGGTAGCTTCTCTTCCAATGCCGTATTTTGTGGCAATGGTGGCACTCTGCCTCCTTTCGGTTAGAAGTAGGCTTAGCGGGATCAACTTTTGCCCCACTAGAAGAGGAACCATCTCGGGACTTTCCCTTGCGGTGGCTCTTAGACGGAGCCTTCCTCTTCTTGCCTCTTCCTTGCCCAATGGCCAAAACAGGAACAACGGGTGGATTGGGAGTGGCTGCAACGGACTTGTCCTTGAGATTGCTCTCAGCAATCCTAAGGATACCTTGGAGCTTACTTAGGGTGACCTCTTCTTCGTTCATGTGCTAGGCCATCGTAAATTGGTTGTAACATGGAGGCAATAAGTGAAGCACCATGTCGATTGCCAAGTCTTCCCCAAAGTCAACATTTAACTTGCGAAGACGATCGAC